ACATGTATGCCAAAGATTTGGTTTGTATCTTATACGTATGTGTTGAATGAGGGGCCCATATTTTTTAACAAGAATCACAGAGCACACTAAATAATTAAACCATTTGAGAACTGAATAGCAATGATGGATCATTTTTCTCTGCAATTACAAATAAAAATCTCAGTCTGTCTTTTTGTGTGTGTGTTAGTTCCTTCCATTTGGAACCATGGAAAAAAATATTTATCAATTGTCATTAAATTCAGCTATACCAAGCTTCAAAAGTCTGGATCTTGATGGAGTTTGTAAGGCTAATTGTAACAGAATATAGTGTATAGTAATGAGACCACTCCAAAGTATCGCTTTCGCTTGATGAAGTTTGTGAGGTTTGCAGAATGTAAAGAACATTGTAACAAATGTCACACTTTACCACTCTACTGTTATTGCTTTTGCTAACCAAGACCATTTTGCTTTGCAACCAGCATCTACTGTACCACTCCCCCCAACTAACAGTGTAATGGTTAGTTACATAAGATGCAGCATCCTTCTTGAAAACACTATACACTACAACATAGCATGTAACTTTACACGTAGGTGCAACAATTTTAGTCACAATAACCATACTCTACAACATTCATTTTCAAGCAGCCTCCTTAACATAATAGGAAGCTTTGTTGTAACCAGAACAAAGATAAATAATTATGGTACGTTGTTATATAGCTGGAGTTTAGTTGAATCTAATACATGCTCTTATTGGTTGTTTTATGGTCACGTGGCAATGGCTAAATCTAAATGTTGCCCCGGCAGGCAACAATTAAGCAATTGTTGCCCACCCTCCACTACCCAGAGGTTACTTTAACTCCTTCTTGCCTTACTACTTTACACCTAAAGTGGTACTATGACGAAAATCGCATCTTTCCCATCGAAGCCGTTTTAAAACATAATTAAGACGCCTGTATGAGAAGAAAAATGCTGTTTACTATTTTCAAATATCTCTTTTCGTTCCAAAGATATTCAAGTTTTTAAAATATGCAAATTAGCCAAGTGATGACATCATACACTCAACCAAATTTTGATCAAATATGATGAAAAAAGATATCTCATCCAATTTCTATCAGAAATGTTTGATTCTTTGCAGTAAGATTCTTCTAAATTTGCTCCACATTAGGACCTCAACAGTTACGTTACCATGGCAATGTACTGGGTTCCAAAACTCCCCAATATTAAAGGCATTTCTGGCCACCTTTGCCGTTCCATTTTGATATTTGCAAATGGGTGCCTCATATGCACGATCCAGCAAGCATGTAAATATGTTAGCT